GCATCCCTTGCTCACCTGCATCCTCCCCAGCTCACCTGCATCCTCCTCAGCTCACCTGCATTCCCCCCAGCTCACCTGCATCCCCCCAGCTCACCTGCATCCCCCCCAAGCTCACCTGCATCCTCCCCAGCTCACCTGCATCCCTCGCTCACCTACATACTCTCCAGCTCACCTACATCCTCCCCAGCTCACCTATGTCCCCCATTCACCTGTACCCCCTCAGCTCACTTCCCTGCTCACCAGCACCCCCGCTCACCTGTGCTGTCGGATCTGCTGGATGGACAGCCTCCGGGCCGGCTCATACTCAAGCATCCCTGAGAAGAGGTGCCATGGGTCAGGCAGGGCGCTCAGACCCCGAGCCCCCACTGATGACTGCTGCTTCCTGTCCGTCCATCCAACTGTTCATCCGTCTGTCTGCCCAACCCTCTGCTTGGGCCACGGAGGGGCCACAGGCTCTGGGCTCCAGCTGCAGGGAAGGACGCAGACCTGCCCTCCCGAGAGTCCAGTTCCTGCCAGGTGGGGCCGGGTCACTCTGACCCACTACGAAGCCAACCTCGTGGGAAAGGCCGTGTGTTGGCTGAACACGGCTGCACCACCTGGGGTGCAGGGGGGATGAGGGGAACTTGAGTGGACGCTAGCCGCTAAAGCCGCAGCCATAACCTCCTGCGGGCCGTCTCCGCAGCAGCGAAGACAGACAGCGCGACAGTGAAGAGGGAATGAGAGGAGCTAAACGCTCTGCATTTCCCACACGCAGCACCCGGCAGCCTCAATACGTAAAGAGAAAACAGGCTGGACCAGCATCATCGGTGCCGCAGGAACTCTCTGTAACTTACAAAACGGAGATTTAAACCACGTGGTCAACAGACACGGCTGACAAGCTTCCAGGGAACACAACGCTGAACCATGGACTTTCCCGAGTACGCGTGTAACATTTACAAACGACGACCAAGTCTTAGATCGTAACGTAAGCTGGCACATCTCACAAGGCTGGAATCATTCCAACTGGCTCACCTAAGGCAATAAAGCTTGAAATAAAACAAATGGGAGAAATCTTAAACCCCCAGGTGCTTAAATTTAAGCGTGTCTAAAAACTTTGTCAGCGTTAGAAAATAAACAGAAATTAGAAAATCTAGTAAATAAAGCCACGATGAACAACTATCCACTATCGATATCTGTAACGTAAGGGCAGAGCAGAACGAAGAGGACAATTTATAGCTCTAAACGCATATACTAGAAATGAATGCCGAAAATTAACCATTTTTATCTACAATCTGGAGTCCCTGGGTGGTGTACATGGTTAACGCACCCAGCGGCACCTCAACAGAAAGGCCTGGCGCTCTACTTCTAATCAGTCACTGAAAACCCTGGGAAGCACAGTTCTACTCTGACACACATGGAGTCGCCATGAGTTGGCGTCAACTGGACAGCAGCTTTTTTTTACCTGAGTATCAACACTCTGCAAAGACAGGGCAGCCAAGAGCCACCAGTCAGGCAAAGCCTAGAAATGGGAGCAAAAACAGTGCAGAAAACAGGCGCACAAAGGCCCAGCAATCCTACTAGAAGCGTGCATCAGGAGAAAGCTGCGATGCCTCCAGGGATGCAGTCAGTTTGATGTTAGAAAATCGACATGATCCACCACACTGACAGATGAACAAACTATGTAGATATAGATGCAAAAAGACAACTGATAAGGTTCTGAAAACTTTCACAAAGAAAACTCTCCACACCCAGAACCGAGAGAACTTCTTAATCTGATAACAGGTACTTATTTTGAAAACACCTGCAACATGTCTCTTACGTAAAGATGAAATAACGAGTTTTCTCTCTGAGGCTGGGACAGACAAGGCCATCCACTCTTCCCACAGACGTTCAGCACCAGGCCCAAGACGCCCCAACAGTCCAGGAAGAAGCACGGGAACACACAGAATGGACACGCCGGGCGTCGTGTAGCAGGCAGCTCCGTAGTGTGCTGAGTTACTTCATACGGCCCTTCTAGCCATGGGCATGCAACTCCCACAACACAATTGCGTGGGACTATGCAAATAAGGTGTTCATGGCCCGGCAAGGGAATCGGACAGCCTGTTAATAACAACGCAAATAAAGTGTATGGAACCCTAACGAGAGGATTGCTCAGTTTTGCCATCCTGCTAGGCTTAAAACGAGCCAATCTTAAAGAGGCTGGGAAGCGGACTTCATTACCATCAAGAAGAGCCAGGACCATATAAAGAAATAAAAAATTGGTTTAAACTTAAAAAAATCCCGGGTAAACATTAAGATAACCACAAAGGAAACTAACAACCCTGCACATCAAGATAAAAAAATGAAAAAAATATGAAGACTCAGCAAATACAAAATCAACAACAATGAAAAAGATGGAAAGAAAATGCATAAAGAAAAAGGACTCACCACAGAAAATTAAGTAGAACAAAGAAACTGTCAACAACACACAGAAAAAGAGCCAGGAGCGGAATGTGTCTTTTCAACCCAGGGTCCCTATGCTGAGAACCTCCTAGACCCAGGGGACACAGAGAACTGTAACAGTGGAGATGATGTGAGATGGCAAAACGTGGTGGCAGCAGAACCAGGAGACCAGTGCAAGACAGCACAGCGGGCTTCCCGGCCCGTGGGGCGTGTAAACTACAGCAGGTGTGCCGGCTCATGGAGCGAGAGGGCTGAGCGCCTTTGGGCAGGAGGCTTCCTGGCAGAGTGGGGTGCCTCCAGGCACTTGTCTGCGGAGCTAAAGAGCTTTGTTAACACTTGCCCCAGTTGGGCTGAGGCTAAGGGGCCAAGGACTGAGAGGCCTGCCTGAAGGCACGGCCAAGAAGCTGTCCTGATTGAAAAATCATATCCTGAGTTGTTCCTGTTACTTCCAAATCATTGCTGATCCTGAATTGTAACTGTTACTTCCCTAATAAACCCTGTAATTGTAAGTATGGTCTGCGCATTCTATGTGGCTATTATAACAGATTACACCCAGCAAAAAAGTAGAGACGGTTGTGGCAGGGACAGCTGGTGTCAGAATTGGTAACAAGGTTGGAGAGAGGAGGCCTGTCTGACGTCCACCTGGTAGAAGTCAGCCTTGTGCTGATGTTGATGGTGACTCTCACCCTCCTCAAGTTAACCGAGAAGGTCTGACACCACAGCGTTCTGGAATCGGCTTTGGGCTGATACTGGTGACGATTCTCTCTCCTTGCGATGCCACGCCATTTTCACAGCTTGCTCAGACCTGTGGCCGTTCACACGATGGGCACAGAGCCAGCCTGAGGATGGTGTGGGCGTCACGGCCATGGCCCAAAGCGCCCACGGCCTCGGGGCTTCCACGCCTCACGGTGCCTCCTCGACACTTCTGTGGAGAAGGGCAGCAGCCCCCACCCCCTCCGCCGTCATTCTTCCGGGCTGGGTGGATTGGGTGGGATGGGGCATCCAGCCAGTAGGGGCCAGGCTGGCAGGAGGAGGATGGAGACACAGGGATAGTGCAGTCCCCAGCTTGTGAGGACCGTCGGGCCGCGGCTCAGAGCCCATGGGCCTGGGAGGCTGTGCCAGGAACCCGGAAACCAGAACTGCACCTGGGCCAGCCAGGCTCCCCCGTGAGTGAGGCAGGTGCAGCCCCGAGCCGGGGTCCCCCGTGAGTGGGGCAGGTGCGGCTCCGAGCCAGGATCCCACAAGTGGGCAGGTATGGCTTTGCCAGGACCACACCAGCCTGAGACTGAGTCCTGGGGGACCTTTACCCAACTCCCTGTGCTGCCACAGCCAGGGGTGCAGCGTCCACGTCTGCTTCATATCAACGAACGCAAAACCTGAGACCCATTCTCGACGCAGCCACTGGGACACCCCTGAGAACAGCTGTCTACCTCCTAGCGGCCAGTCACTAAGTCTCAACAATGTCAAGAGCTTCCAGTGGGAGCGCGGCGTCCGAATCCAGACGCGCATGAGCAACACGCCGGCTCTGACAGTGCAGACGGCCACAGGCAAGCAGAGAAAGCGGGGTGATGCCCGCTGACAGGTGCTCTCTGAGTGCACGGGCAAAGCTGCTTTGCTCTTGTCTGTGGGGGTAGCAGGGGGTATGGCCAAGAGCTGCTGAGAGTACAGTAGACCTGGGTGGCCGGCAAAGCCAGAGTAGAGTTGGCACGGCCGGGCCAGTGGCCCCAGCACCATGAACCGAGAGGGTGCAGCTCCGGGAGCCCTGCTGGTCTTGGGGCTGGTGGCTGCCCTTTTCCCCAAAACGCCAATGCCAGGGAGGTAGAGGCCTCATGAGTGGACACCGGCCACGTTCTGTGGGTGACCAGCATCCCAGGGCCCCACTGGAATGTGGCCGATCAACTGTGATGACCACGAAGACCCTGGGAACGGAGCCGCCGCGCAGCCAACAGCGCCCCCTGCTGCACCGCTTGGGAGAAACAGCCGGAGGAGCAGGAGCTGCCTGCCCTGCGGCCAGGAACCCTGCGGCCACCTCCAGAGACCCCGTGAGGCGCCATACCACGGCAGGGTGGTGGCGCCAGCAGGAGCTCTGCCGGGCATGCCCACCCCAAGTGGTGAAGTGAGAAGTCCAAGGGAGGCGGTGGAGCCTAAGGGACCCAACCAGGCCTCAGACGCGCAAGCAAGAAGTGCCCCTGCCTACCCTCTCACTGGTATCCATCTGGACAGATGGGGAGACCCTGCCCAGGACTCCATCCCGGTACCTCCCAGATCCACGCACCCGAGCCGGGGTTCCCAGCCTCTGCACGTCATCCCAGGACCGCCACCTCCCGAAGTGTGGCAGTGTGGCAGGAGACCCCACCGCCCTCTCTGGGGCAGGCCCCGCCCCACGCCCCTCCTGGCCTCCGCGCACACACGCAGGCCACGGACACGAGGGGCCGCCCCACCTCTCAGCAGGTCGGACAGTGGTGGGCCGCAGTCGCCCGGGATCGTGTAGTCCCCCTTCCCGATGTTCTCGAACAGCTTGTAGATGTTGTCCCCTTCAAAGGGGTACAGGCCCGTCGTGATGTTGTAGCTGCGTGCCCAGAGAAACGAGGGAACAGTCGGTAACCATATGCGTCCGCACGGGGCACCCACGACAGGATGGGGTAGGGGAGGGCCTTGCAGCCGACACAGAGCTTGGGGTTCCAGGTTGGGGGCATGGACGGTCAGCCTGAGTTGGGGCGGTCCTGCGGTCTAGCGCCCCAGGCACTTACAGCGTGACCCCCGCCGACCAGATGTCCACCTTGAAGCCAGAGAAGGTGTCCAGGCCATTGGCGATCTCAGGTGGCTGGAAGGCTGGCGATCCCTGGCTGGTCCGGCATGTATCATCCTCAGCAAACGGGTGCAGGGCCTGCGGGGGCCAGTGGCCTCAGTGAGCACCTCAGGCGGCTCGCTCCCATACCGCGCAGACCCCTAAACGCCCCCCTCCATGCGGACCACGTCTCCCGGCGCCGACCCCAGCATCCCCCAACCCCGGAGACCCCAGCCCCTGCCCATACATGTCCCTGCAGCCCCGCCCCGCAGCCCCACCTCGGCCACGCCCAGGTCGGAGATCTTGAGTGTCCCGCTGGTGGTGAGCAACAGGTTTCCGGGCTTGATGTCCTTGTGCACGATGCCCTGGCTGTGCAGGTACTCCAGCCCATCGATGAGCTGGCAGAAGTACCTGCAGGGAGATGCACGCTGGCCAAGGCTCCTGGGGGCCCAGAGGCTCCAGCCCGGCTCAAGACCAGATGGCCCGACGCAGTGGGAGGCTCAGCTGGGTAGCGGGTGGCACAGGCTCCAGCAGGGCGTCTGGGGGCTTCTTAAGGACTTGAAGGTCACCTGACCTGAGCGGCTTCTCGGACAGAAGGGGATTCATGGGGTACAGAGAGGAGCTACTGGGAGGGAGCCCTTGCATCCTCGCAGCCCACCATTGGGACCACACACAGCTCCCGAAGGTTCTCAGTCCTATCACACTGCAGCCTTCCTTTCACCAACAACCAGCTGTGTGAACACAGAACTGGCCGGACTGTCCTCTCGGGCCTCGGTCTGTGGCCACCAGGGAGGGAGCCCCTATGGGCTCAGGGACCAGGCACAGTGCAGGGCGAGGCTGGGGGACTGCAGACGGGCCGCCAACTCACCCATGGGCCTGGCACACAGGGAACCTCTTCTCGGGCACACTGTCCAGCATCTCCTGCATGCCGCACACGCAGTACTCCATCACCATATACGTGCGCATGTCAAGGAAACCACAGCAGGAACGCAGGCCCACACCCAGGCCCCTCCGTTCCCAGGCCCCATGTGCGCACGCAAACACACACACGTTTGAGGATACACCTCCTGCTTCTCCTCGGTGCACAGCCCAGGCCCCACGTGCATGCATGCATGCATGCGCGTGCACACGCGCGCGCGCACACACGAAGATATACCTCCTGTTTCTCCTAGGTGCACAGCCCAGGTCCCATGTGTGCGCACACATACATACATGTGTGAGGATTTTCCTCGTGCTTCTCCCAGGTACACAGCCCAGGCCCCATGTGTGCACACACACACACGTGAGGATACATCTTCTGCTTCTCGGTGCACAGCCCAGGCCCCACATGCACACACTCACACACTCAGACGTACACGTACACACACACACACACACACACACACACGAAAATGTATCTCCTGCTTCTCTGTGCGCTGCCCAGGCCACCCCATCCCCACGCACATTCACACATGCACGCACACACGCTCACGTGAGGATGTATCTTCTGCTCCTCATTGCACAGCCCAGGCCCCACAGGCACACACTCACGCACACACGTGTACACACACACACACACACACACACACGTGAGGATACATCTGCTTCTTGCTGCACAGCCCAGGCCCCACAGGCACACACTCACGTGCACACACACTCACACATACACACACACACACGTGAGGATACATCTTCTGCTTCTCGCTGCACAGCCCAGGCCCCACATGCACACACTCACACATGCACACACTCACACATGCACACACACACACATGCACACTCACACATGCACACACTCACACATGCACACACTCACACATGCACACACTCACACATACACACACACACACACACACACACAGGTGAGGATATATCTTCTGCTTCTCCTCATTGCACAGCACGTCCACTAGCTGGATGACATTCCGGTGCCGCAGCCGCCGCAGGAGCTGGATCTCCCTGCAGGGACGGGACAGGCATCAGCACAGTGCGGGCAGACCCAGTTTGGTATGGACAATCGACACACCTCTGCCGAGCCTCAGCTCACCAACCCCGCCCCGCTCTGGCCTGGACAGGACGGCCCCTGAGCTCCAGCACCTCCCATGCCCCCAGTTTACTCGAGTGCTCCGCTCTGCTCTGCTCAGAGATGCGGCTGGCTGTACACCCACCTGATGCCTACATCCACAGTGGCACGGCCCCCTACACACCTCGGTTCCCGTCTCTCTACTGACCAGGCTCTAAGAAGGCTACCCGTTCCAGGAAGCCCATCCTCACTGTCTCCACCTCTGTGCATCACTCCCATGTCCCCAGAGCTGGTGGCCTCCCAGAGCACTGGGCACAAGTGGACAGGCTGGTCGTCGGCAAGGCCTGCTCTGGGTCACCACTCACAGAGCTGCAAGAGCGGTACCACAGGGCCAGTCCCTCGGACAAGGGCCAGCGGGGCTGAGTGTGTGAGGACGTGGGGTGAGCACGGGGAGGATGAGGGCCAGCAGGGCTGAGTGAGGACATGGGGTGAACATGGGGAGGACGAGGGCCAGTGGGACTG